TGTGCCGTGCAAATCCTGGGCAAAGGCTTCGCGAATATTCTGGGGAAATCCCTTCCTTTTGCAGTCTGAGGGGAAAGTGACTTGTACTGGCTACAGAATAAGTGGTAGATTCCACTGGATGTGGAATCCAGAGTTTTTTGCCCCAAGCCCAGGCTTAGATCATGGGAACTGAGAGCTGAGGGGTGGCCCTGTGAATTCCCTCATCCAATCCCAAAGTTTACAGATGGGGAAATTGAGACCCAGACAGGGGATGGGACTTCCACAGCCCCTACTTGTCTCAAGGGAAGGAAAATCATGAACACGCTGCTTGTGTGTGTCAGAGGACAGACCAGAAGCATTCCTAGGGGGCCTCAGGAGTGCCTCTTAGCTGCTATGGAAGGAAGGAAGGAAGGAAGGAAGGAAGGAAGGAAGGAAGGAAGGAAGGAAGGAAGGAAGGAAGGAAGGAAGGAAGGAAGGAAGGGGGGGAGGGAGGGAGGGAGGGAGGAAGGGAAGGAGGGAGGGAGGGAAGGAGGGAGGGAGGGAAGAAGGGACAGGAAGGGAGGAAGGAAGGAGGGAAGGAAGGGAGGAAGGGAGAAAAGAGGGGAGGAAGTCAGGGGCCAGAAGGCAGTTGGACCCAGGGCCACCATCCCCTCCATCCCTCTCTCTGAACTCCAGCACTCTTCAGATGAACAAGGCTCTGGGCCTGAAAGATTCCAGCATCTTTAAAGAGTTCTTCTAAGAGGGTAACATCACTGAAAAGCAGTTCCTGGAGAGAAGGGACTCACTTTCCCTGGGCTGAGAAAGAAACTTGACCAGAGGGAGTGGGGGGAAGGGCGTGAAGGAAGAAAACAGGACTGTCAGATTCCAGGAGGGTGGGAGTGTCCCCTCCCCCTTGTCTTTGTGCCAACCATGGGCCCAGTCTCCAGTTTGGGGCAGGTGGGTGGGACAGTGAGGGGCCAAGTGAGCTGACCCTACTTCCCCTCTCCCCCATCAATTTGTCTCAGCTAGGGTCAGGGGCCAGGAACAAATGCTGTCAGGCCAGCTGGCCAGAGAGTTCCCAATTAGACTTTGTGTCTCATCCTTAAGGCCCTGAGCCCCCAACCCCGGCACCCTGGCCCAATTACTGCCCAGCAGCATTAACCCCTTGGTGCCCCAGGCCGTTAATGGAATGTTAATTGGTCTAATGGGTTTCATGTCAACAAGTCCTAATGAGCTCCTTCCTAATGAGCTTGGTATTTTTTTCTGAGCCTGTTTGTCAACACACTGGATTTGGGGCTCCAGACTGCCGGCCTGGTGGTACAGGGCTGTGGGGGGCGTGGGTTGAGGAGGCTGAGGGAGGCGGGTGCCCAGGATTGCCCATCCCATTTCCTAAAGGGGTGTGCTTTTATGACTCCTCATCCACTGACCCAGCCTCACCGGCTCCTGGGCTCTCTAACATGGCATTTTAGTTTCTTCTGATGATATCGGAGACACAAATGATTTCTTCTCAGTTAACATTGTGGGGTCGAGTGTTGTGTTAGAATTTTTCCCTCCTAGATGTCTTATCATAAAGGTTTTCAGCACTGAACAAAACAAATCAAAAAGCAACCTTTCCCCGTGAGCCAGTTCGTGATGGGAAATCTCTCCGTGGGAGACGTTCCCATCTGGCCTCCATTTGCAGTCTTGCCTGTGTCCCCCTTGAATGCCCAGGTGTCTGGTGACAGAGCACTGCGGCCTCTGGACAGGGCCAAGCAGCCTCTCAAAGTTCGTGACAAAAGCTCTGAAGCCCAGAGCTGGGTTTGCAGGGGCTCAGGCCTGCTGCTCCTCTCCCTCTCCCAAAGAATATGCAAAAAAGGCAGGCCTCCCCCAAAGGGCCAGGACCCCTGCTGTGGCTCAAGGAGTTCCCCCACACCCCACTGCAAAGTCCCAGCCAAGTCCCAGATAAGGTGAGTCAGATCCCCAAATTCCTCTCCAGGATGGTTGCACGTGGCCTCTCAGGAACCGGGGAAGTGCATGTGTGGGTGGAGAGGTGTGAGGCAAAGAGCCAGCTTCCGGACATGGGTGCAGGGTCCTCCTGTGGCTGAGCTCCCGGAGTGTCAAGTTGCCAGAGGCTTCTGTGCCTGAGCGAGCAGAGAAGGAAACTTAAGCCTCTGTTGAAAAGGCCTCCTGTTCTCTTGCAGGAGAAGCCCCCAGAGGGTAATGGGGCAGTGGCCTAGTGGCCTATGGTGACCCCAAGGAGGGGGAGGGGCCAGGGCCATCTGGATCCTCAGAATATTGTTCCTGCGTCTTCTTCCTAGGCGGGTCTGGCGCTGCTCCACAGCCTGGTGGGCTCAGGACTGAACAGTCTCCTCTCAGCCTCACGGGTGGCTGTCTCTGGGTGCAGACCACTCTGAACCATCCTCCTGACCCCCAGACACGGCAGCCCTCCTGCTGCTAGCAATGTTTCCAGGGACAGCGCCTCTAAAATGACCCTGCCTTCCATTCATTGGACGGTGAACAAAAGAATGTGAATGAAAGGCGCTTCTCTGTAGCCTATGCCCCCCTCGTTGAGCTTCCTTTGTTTTGCCTTCATTATGACTTTCTAATCCATGGAATGAGGTTACCAAAAGACCCAAGCCGGAGGTTAAAGAGAACTAGTTGCCCCTAAGAGGGGAGAAAGCCCTCCTTCCTGAGGCGGCTCCCACGCTGACTCTGCCCCCAGGCTCCCTCTTCTGGAGGCTGCAGGCACTACAGTGCTATAGCCCTTCACGTTTTTCCCCTGCCGGTGAGCATCTGGGATCCCTGCTCTGAGATCCCACCATCCTGGTCCTTGGGCCCTATCCAAAGTTGCCTCCTCTGCCAGAGTTCCAGGGAAGGCTATGTTTCATAGTCCCCTGAAACATTCCTATTTCCTTTATTTTGTCAGGGTCCAAAAAAGAGAAACTCCACCCACTTTAATATCTCAAAAGTCTTAATTCTGGAAGTTCCTTCTGATGTCTCAAAGAGTCTGTGTCTCCCCCGCACACACACACCTTTTTCCCTCTGCAACCCTCACTCTGCTCTTGGCTCTCTGGGATGCTGACCACCACGCAGACAAAAATCCAGCTGTGAACAGAGGCCTTGGTTCCCCTGCCTGAAGAGAGAGGCTCCCCCAAAGCCCCCTCCTGCGTCCCCTTGCAAAAGGAAATTGGATCTCAGGGACCAGTGGTGTGTGAGATGGGTGAGGCGCTGCATGCTGTTGTGAGGATATCCTGGTGGTCCGTCCAGGCGGGGGCGAGCAACAGGCAGTGAGGCCGATGGAACCAGCCTGCAGTCGGCGTTTTTAGCACCGGGGGAGCCATCCCTCCCTGTGCATTCTCCACCCACCTCCACCTCACTTTCTTCCTTCCTGTAGGACCATGACCTCCCTCTCCTAGCCATGCTTCTTGGAGAGAAGACCTTGCCTCATTCATCTGTCTCACCACACTCCTCACTCAGTTCTCTGCACAGAGTTGGTAGTTGGTAGACATCTATTGAGTGAAACACGCATTTCCAGTACTTTTTGCAGAAGGTCAAAGCGTACTTGGTACCTTGGAGACTCAGGTCAGGTCAGAGTAGATCTTACTTCCCTTTCCTGAAAAAGAACCAAATAAATCACACACACACACACACACACACACACACACACACACACACACAGGACTCTGGAGGCCAGCCCCTTTAGTTGATAGCAGCTCCAAAGCACTCTCAAATTCCCACAGAATTCAGATCTGTGAACATTTTGGAAGAGCCTGGGAAGGGCCAGGCTGGAAAAGGATGAAGCTCTGGGTGCTTGAGGGAGAGGTATGAGTGCTGTGCTCACAAAGGTTTCTAGACCAACAGTGCCCTCCACCCAGGAGGACACGTCCTGCACTCCACAGAGGCTCTTAGCAACCTCCTACCCTACAGTGGACAGCCCCGTATCAGGCAACTAGCCTGTGGCTTCTAGATCTAAATATTTCAAGCATCTACTGTAGCACAACAGCTCTCTGGGCATTCTGTTCCTTGGGTGGCACAGCTGGGCTATCTCCACTTATGGCACCACATCCTAGTTCAAGAGGAAGTCTTGAGGCTTCACAGGGGCAGCTCGCCTGCTTACTGGTGATGAGGAAAAGATGGGGGGAACAGTGGAAACACTGGAGCAGACCCAGAGCTGGGAATCTGGAGGTGCTGCTTCCATCCCAGCTTCACTAACAAGTCCCCCAACCCCCACCCTCCCATACACAAGTCACCCTTGGCCTCTGTCTTCTACCAGCCAAAGAGGCAGGTAGCCCATTTGGCTCTGACAGCTCTTCTGGCACCCACACATTCCGGTGACCATACTAAACCAAGGCTGAGGAAAGTCCTGCTTAATAGGATATGCAGGCACATCTGCGGACACGCCCATAGTCACAAGCCCGCGCCTGGAAAAGTACAGGAGTGGACGGCATTCCCTGCCTCTTTCCCTTCCCCAAGGCCTCCAGGCAGCCACCCTGGGGCTGCAGTCTGAGGAGGGGTCCGGGGCCCCGTGTCCTTGCCACCACTAGGAGGTGTGGTGAGCCCTGGGGAGGGGCGAGCTCGGCGCTTGAGGACCCTGGGGCTCTGTAGCTGGCCTGATGCCCTCCTGCCCCTGTGCGCGCTGTGGCTGCTCTAGAAAGCCTGGGGAACAGCGGGGCCAGGAGCACCCTTATCAGGCTGGGGAAGGAGGGGTATCCAAATGGTCTCCAGTCCCCCGTGCTCCTACCAGGCAGGCCTCCTCCCCCTTTAGGACCCCTCCCCACATGCACAACAGGCCTGAGCTGATGCTGAACAAAGCACCGCTGCAGGGGTACCGGTTGTTTTACATATGATTTGAATATTGTTTCTTTCAAGTCAAAATAGCACAGCAAGCCCCTCCCCACCCAGGCTTCTCCCTTAGCTCTCATTTGTTGCCCTGAAGGGCGTGCAACCCTTGCTGCATCCAGCCGGCCCAGGTGGCCCAGCGGGGGACACAGGGAGCTGCTGGGTGCCCAGGGCGGGCCTGCTCGGCGGTGTTAACGGTGCGGCCCCCTTTCTCCTGCCCACAGGTCCTCCATGTGAATCAATCCCATGATGCAACATGCCTCCCCAGCCCCCGCTCTGACGATGATGGCCACGCAGAATGTCCCGCCCCCACCCTACCAGGACAGCCCACAGGTGAGTGCGCAGGGGCCGCTGCCTCCCACCATGGGGGAGGGAGTGTGGTGGCCTTAGAGCCCCAGCTGCAGGCTGGGATATTCCAGGGGCCAACGGGCTGAGCCAGGCCTCCCACAGTCATGTCCTGGCGGCACTCCTGGCTCTTCCCCCTCAGCCTGGGGAGCGAGAGTCCTGCAAACACAGACCCCGAGGGGAGTCACCAGGTTCAGAACCCAGGACCTAGGACTGGAAGCTAGAGTAATGGTCACAGTCCTGTCCCCCACCCCACCCCTCAGACAGCAGACAAGCGCAGCCAAACCCCTTTGTTGTGACTGGGGCAAAATCCACAGCTGGGGAGACCCAGGTACCAGATGTGAGTGGAACCGCCCTCTGAGTGTTTGAGAAACTTCCTACTCAGACGCTCCTGAGTGTCAGGCCCCCGTTCTCGGTCACATTGGGAGAATCTCTGTTCTCTTCAGAACTCCTCTGGGCTTCTGCTTTTTAAAAGCCAAGATTCCTTCTGTATACCCCACAACCCCTTTCTTCTGGTCCCCAGCTTCCACCCCTCAGCTCAGACACAGCTGCCCCCCAAGATCTTCTGCACCCCCTACCCCGATTGCCACTCCTACAACAGGCCCCTCCTCAGCAGTGCCTTCTTGCTGCCTTCATGCTGTCTGCCCTCCTCCTCCTGGAAGCCTGCCCAGCTTGTGGGGGCTGCCCTCCTACATCCTTGAGACCAGCCGCTTTTCCTATTTGCTTCCCCCAGGTGCTCCTCTTGTCCACCCTTGGTTCTTTGGAAACTTTGAGTTTTGTGTCTGTGCTTTCACAGAAGCCTTCATTCTCTGACGCGTCCCTTCACACTCTCCTGTCAATATGAATTCGACAATTATTTATTGGGCACCTGTGATGTGAAATGCACCCAGCTAGAATGTCCATCCTCACATTTGCCCATGTGCAGCAGTTGCCCGCTGAGTGCTATGGGCAGGCTACCATCTGCACTCCTCCAGCAGCCAGTCTCTGCCTTACCCTGCCATCCCTCACTCATCAAACACAGCGGTCTCATGGGCTACATGGAAAATTTGTGCAGCATGAAAGGGGTCTTAAGATGCAGATGCTGGCCTTGTGCTCACTATGGTCCTGATGCCCCCAGCCTAGTGAGAGTAGCTGCTTTATACATCATTGTCATCCCCCGGGAGATTACCAGATGCTCTGGGGCCTCTTTCTAGCGTACTCAGCATATGGAACCCCTTCGACTGCTCTGCCCTTGAAGGTCCAAAAGCCCTGGTCCTTCACCCATCTCTGAGCACGTGTCTATGGCCCCGCTCCCACATATCAAATCACATTACTTCCCCAGCTCTCCCAGCCTAACCCCATCCTCAGTGACCCCTCTGCTCATGCCAGTAGTTTCCATGAATAAGCCACAGGGTTGAGCTTGGCCTTTACATGGCTCTTGTATTTGAAAGCTTCCAGGCATTCGGCACTATGTCAAGTCCCTTCCCCCTGTAGTTTCAGCTCCCGAGACAAAGTTCAGAAGGAGCCCTCAACTGATGGGAACCTTTCGCCTCCCAAGAAAGAAGTGAGAGAAGGAGAAGCTAGGGGCCAGAATAGGGGCAAGATCTTCCTTCTTCGATAGCAGCAGATCCATTCCCACTCTGCTCAGCCAGCACACGTCGGTGCCCACATATGGATTCAGTGGTGGGAACTTGGGCTCCACTTGTGTTGTAACTGGATTCTCTCTCCAGTCAGAATGGGGAACAGAGATGGGGACCCTGCCTGTATTTAGCAGGTGGTAGCTGCCAAGGCCCACACCTCCATACCCAAGACTCAAGGATAGACCAGGGCAGGGCTGAGAGGTCAGAGAACACTGTGTTGGCATGACTGATGGCGGCCGCTCCCCTCTCACCCACCCCTCCCTGTTTTGACTGCCTGGGCAGCTGGGAGAAGTTTTGGTTTGGCGGGGATTGGCGGGAGAGCTGCAGCAAGGGCCTGTGTTGAATACTGATCCAGAAGCCTAATTTAATGATCAGCATACAGCTGGATTAATACATCCCAGCTGTCGAGGGACGGATGGAGGTGGGCTGCAGTTGTAAGGTGCTCAGCTCCCCAGAAGTCACCACTAAGCTGCTCTAGCCTTTGTGAAGTAGAAGGGAGACTCCACTTCCATATCTAAGGTCTTAGACTGAAGCCAGATACAGGGACTGCCCGAAGGCTCTCCTCTCTGAGGATCTGCCAGAATGTCACCATTTAAAATCTTCACATTTAGAACAAAGGAATAATTTGCCCTGGGGAAGCTGCCATCTATTTGTAACCCTGGCAATCCATGAGTGAAATATCTGATGAGAAGCATCAGTGTCCGTGGTGAACTGACCAGGTCAAGGTGTCAGGGTCTTTATGGCCTTGACGAAGCCACTAGGCTATGCCCAAATTGCCATTGGCCTTCCCCAAGCTGAGCTGGTTCCCAAGGAAACTGAGCAGGATGTGGGGCTAAGGGAGAGGAGCTAGGGCAGGGGTGGAGTGGGAGGGATGGGGGAGCTGGTGGAGGCCTCCAGAACAAAGACTTCTGACTCTAGGGGGAGAGGCTGTTCTCTCCGGAGAGGGCTGGTATTTGAGGGCCTTCTGCCCACTCTTTCGGGCTTCTAGGAGGGGTTCCCTTGTAGGAATAGCTCTTCCGTGCATGCCTGGCTTCTGGCACTTTCTGCAAACTTGCATTGGACCCCTGACTTCTTCCCTTTATCTTTTCGAGATACGGACCCCAGCTTCCTATGGGGGAGACTCTACTGCATTTCCCTTCAGAGTGTTCATATCCCCGAGAACCAGCCACTCTCTGAGACTCCACATCTTCAGGGAAGCAGAGCCTGATGGGGACATGGGTCAGGCACACCAGGGAATCCTGTCCAAAACAGAGCTCTCAGGAAACAAGGCCCACTCCCTCTTCATTCCTTTAGGTCTAATCTCATCATGTTTGGACCACGCATGACTTGTTTCCTCACAACCTGGGCAGCTAAGCACACTTCTCCATCACCTCTTCAGAAACCCAGTTTCTTCCACAGGCAACAAATGGACAGTCTCTGATATGAAGTCCCCCAAATGAAAAAGGAAGCGAGACGCAGAGCCCTTCCTCTGAGACCCATGCAATCGTTTTAATAATGTTCCCGTTGTGCTAAGGGCTAGCAATACCGAGCATAATCTATTCAAATGCACAGGAGAATCTCACTTTGGAAAATTAGGAATCTGCATTAAAAAATTCCCAAGCCCCGGACCTTCTTTATAATAAATTAGAATTTTTTTTTCAAGGCAAGTTCTTAACTTGGCAATTTCATTTTTGAAGTTTGGGGAATAAAGTTATTAAAAATGAGGGAGGCCTTTTTTTTCCTCCCATTTTAGTAGAGAAGCATTCATGGTTATGACCTCATGCTATTTGGGCACAAGCCAAGTGATACAATGGTTAAGTGGCTTCTAGCCCTTCGGTTCTGTTGCAGTCCATCCTGGAGAAATTTTGCGATTGCTTGTGAGGTCGTCACTCTGTTGATTGTGCACCTAAGGATGACTGTATGTTTAGAAAGTGCAAAAGCAGGCTGGGCACGGTGGCTCACGCCTGTAATCCCAGCCCTTTGGGAGGCCGAGGTGGGTAGATTGCCTGAGGTCAGGAGTTCGAGACCAGCCTGGCCAACATGGTGAAACTCTGTCTCTACTAAAAATACAAAAAGTAGCCAGACATGGTGGCACACACCTGTAGTCCCAGCTACTTGAGAGGCTGAGGCAGGAGAATTGCTTGAACCCAGGAGGCGGAGTTTGCAGTGAGCCAAGATTGCACCACTGCACTCCAGCCTGGGAGACAGAGTGAGACTCCATCTCAAAAAAGAAAAAAAGAAAGTGCAAAAGCAACAACCCAGTGGAACCCTCCCTGTGACCTACTTCCTCCTTCTGGTAGCTTCCTGCTAAATTCTGCCAGAGTAGCAGCACCCTCTACTGTCTTAACTACAGGACCCCAATTCCAGCATGCTGTAACTGGGTCACTGTAACTGGGTCCTTGATGCAGACCCTCACTTTATGCCCTGAAGAGGTAGGGTTAAATCACGAGGGTGGTGTAATTCTACCATGATTTACCTAATGACCACACTGTCTCTAGAGAGACCTGGATGTGAAATAGGTGTGTGATCCTCAGTTCAGTGCATTGTGTTGATTCCAGCATCACCCTGCTTCTGTTCTGCATCTCTGCCATAGTGGCCTGGCTGTCAGCTGGACTTTCACAGCCCCCTCCTCCCACTGCCCCAGCATCCCCACTGACCCCTCCATTTGCTACTATTTCTTTCCTCTCCTGCCTTGTTTAGTATCCCAGCAAGTATCACTCCAGCCTCCCTCCCAGAATTTTCTTGGGAACACACGACCACCCTGTCACTCCTTCTAGGCAAATACCTCTGATTCGTGTACTCTCAGAAATGTCACTCGAGATCTTCCTGTAACACCCATATGCAACAGCACCCACCAAGCGAAGTTCTCACTTCTGTAGCTCCATCAGCCACTCCGGGGAGCCATCCGGGTTCACTAGCAAAGGCAACCACTTCACTCCCCTCACCTTCCCACACAAAACACACTCTCGTTATCAGCACCACCCCCCACAACTTTTCCTCAAAGGCAGACACATACCTACTGTTCCAAAAATATCTTTGCCCTTGGCTTATTAGCAAGATAAATATTGTATCTATTTGAGTATGTATTCAATGTTTAGGATGTTCAGTCTGCATGTCCCCTGCATGTCAGCTGCATGAGCATTGGACTAGAAAGCAGAAATCCTGGTAGATCCTAGTCTGACCCACTAGGCTCTACTAGGCTGTACTAGGCACAGCCCCTGTCGATGTGAAACTAAACTCAGTGGATAGTTTAGGAACAAATTGATGGCTAGGTAGCTAGGTGCTTACGTAGCATTACTTGATGATGAGTGGCATTAAAAGGGTTTTGGCAGTTCACCAAGGATGCAGCCTCATTTTTGACCAGAGAGAGACAAGACAGGCAGTTAGAAC